AGAATAATAATAATAATAAGAAGAAGAACAAGAGCAACACCCTTTCAGCTTCTGTAATTATAAAAATTAAAAAAATATTAAAATAACTTGTAAACAGAAAATATATTCAAATACAGGGTGTCCATAAAATTCGTGTGCACTTTAAAAAACTTATAACTTTATTTGTATTTGCGATAGAAATAATTTGTAAAAAGAATTAGAAAGAAGTAAATCTATATTTTTTAAGGTTTTATTGAAATTTTATTTAAGTTTCCACATGTCCTCCATCATTAGCAATAAAATGGTAATACGATTTTGTAGTTCATGGAAAACATTTGCCAACTGATTTACAGTAATGCTTGAAATCACATTAGTTATTTTAGCTATACTTAAAACTAGGTACATTAAACTTTATAACGTTTTTCACAAATTATTTCTATCGCAAATACAAATAAAGTTATAAATTTTTTAAAGTGCACACGAACTTTACGGACACCCTGTATTTGTAGGATTTAATCCATTATTTATAAATATATATATTGTCACCCACAGACAGACTGTTTTGCTTTATCACAGCTCATCAATGTGGCTAAGACATCTGATTGCCTCAAGCCGGGAATCTAAGTATGTCCATATTTATCTTGTGCTGATACCCTTGGTAAAGCTAAGAACTCATCTCTTCTCCTGCCATCTATGGGTTAAATAGTAGTGTTTGTATCTGGAAAAATTATTATTATCTCCAAAACATTATTAATGCAATATTCAGTCAACATAAAAAATAATTATTCTTACTATCCAAAATCCGTTTCGGTTTTAAACATCCCCAAAAGGGTTGATAAGCTGTAAAAACAAAGCAAACTCTCAAGAACATTTATCTATCTCAGTTTCTTTATAGATATTTAACTTTTGAAGAAGAGACTTGAAACAAAAGAAATGTTTTTCTACAGAAGGATTCTGAGAATACTATGGATTGAACATGTGAGCAAAGACAAAGTTTTAGAGAAAATGTAAACAAAAAGGACACTTATAATTAACATCAGGAAGATATAACTGAAATTTCTAAGGTGCATAATGAGGAAAGAGGACTTGGAAAATTTGATACTCAGAGGGACATACTGAAGAGAGACAGTGGAAAACAATTCATAACCTACTTAGTGAGCAAATGGATAGTGGAACAATATTTAGGAGCAATAACAAAAAGACAAAATTTATTAAGAGCTACAAAGTGCAGGAAATTGTGGAGAGCCATTATTGCCAGTGTCCTGAAAGTACACAGCACATTAAAGAACTATGGAATTTAATAAGGTTGCATGTTTGTGTGTGTTATATGTTTGGTGCATGTTCATATGTAAACCAAGATGATAGAAACATACAAAAACATGGATTTCTACCACAGACCGTTTATTCTCCTTTTATATATAAACTACCATGAAATAAAGGTTTTAATGTCTCTTGGGTATGTCTGTTTTCCTTTTGGTCCAGGAATTAGGGTAAGTAATTATAAGAATTGTATTAATGGTCAAGCTCAAGTCAGTCTTGCTCAGATTTGGAACAACCAAAGGAAGGTTTGTACTTATGTTATCATTGGAAGGTTTAGACATGGTTATGGGATGTTTTCTCTTTCTTGGTCCAGAAGTTAAGTTTAGTAAGTATAAACATTGTTACAATGGTCATGTTTGTCAGCCTTGTGCTCAGTTAGAACAACCAAAGAGAATGCTTGACTTACGTTCTCTCTTGGAACATTTATCACGCAAATAATATTGAGTCAAGGTAAAAATGAGTAACACAAAACAATAGATATAAAACAAACATATTAACACATATTAACAAAAGGAATAACTTGTGTACACAATAATAACAAAAGGAAAAAATGTTAAAACAAGTTATAAGAACAGTGTGCTTATTTGAGTGTAACAAGCATGTATGATAGACATATATGTGTATATATGTCTGTAGGAGAGTACAAAAAGAAGGACCAAAGAAGTGAATGTACTTTGTTAGCAACATTCCTATCTTCATGCAACTACATCTGAAAGCCAAAGTAAAAAGAGAGGGAAGGAGAATATAGTGATCCCTCGTTTATCACGGTAGATTGGTTCCAAGACCAAAACTGAATTTCCGCGAAGTAGGGACGCCATATTTACAGTATTTATTTAACGTGTATTTGGAATTTTAAAACCCTCCCTGTACTGTTAACAACCTACCCATTACAGTACTCTATTAATAACAAGGACAACTGTTAAGCAATAACACTTTAGATTAAAAAAAAATAAAGATTGTTACTGTATTCAACACGAAAGAAGTTGAATTAGAATTTGAATGATGATGATGAATTTGCTGCACAGTAGAAATGATGATGATGATGAAGCTGATGATGACTTCTACTGTGCAGCCGATAATTGTATTTTATGTCTCTTCAGACGGCAGTGCCCTTTCTATTGCTATTTTAGGCTTGTTTTGTTGTTCCTAGACCAGGAAATAATATTTATTATTAATATTTTAAAGGGTTTAATGAAAAATTTTAGGTTTTCATATATCGCGATTTTTCTAGAATTTTCCAGAAACTCCGTGATATATTTTCCATATATATATTTTAAAAATCTGCAAAGTCATGAATCCGTGATAGTAGAACCACGAATTAGTGAAGGATCACTGTATCTTATTTATAGGTTTAAAGAGTGCCCCCTAATGAGCACTTTTGTCAAAGTCAAGTGAGATAACCCATATTATCAACCCTGTACTTGTGATACCATGGTTTATTTGGTAAATAAAAAAAATCAAGTCCTCTTGTGTTGTAAATGAATCTAAGTTAATTGAAATTATTGAATTAGTTTTTCAGGTATCACATACTTCTGGCATAATTTTTTTTCTGTTACATTTTTTAAATTTTCTTCTTTCATTTTTTTCTCTTATTTTCTCTAATGAGTGCAGATCTGTTTGTCTATCACCTGGTTTACACTGCCTTCCTGTCAATTGAACAGGAGTAGAGGTTTATCCCTTGTTTCCTGTTTAGGGTTGGGTTTCCAGTTTCTTAAAGCCTTATTGTCTTTTACTCCTGTAATATAGCAACAACTCTAAGTAGAAGCTTATAAATCTTTATTTGATTAATTCAGCTTTTGCGGTTGAAAATGTTTATTATATTACAATGGATGCTGTCCTCTTGTACGGCAGCGAATGTTGGACGGTCTTCTCAAAGATGAAGAAGAGACTCAAGGCAGCGAAGATGTGGTTCTACAGAAGGATGCTAAGGATATCATGGAGCGAGCATGTGAGCGATGATGAGGTCTTGGAGAGGATGCAAACAAGGAGGAAGTTTATGCTTAACATAAGGAAGAGGCAGATGAAATTTCTGGGACATGTAATGAGAAAAGAGGGCCTGGAGAATCTGATACTCACAGGTCGAATAGAGGGAAAAAGAGACAAGGGAAAGCAATGCATGATATACCTGGCAAGTGAATGGCAGAATGTGGTCTGGGGGAGTTGGCCGAGGCATGAAACTTATTGAGAGCCACAAGGGATAGGGGGAGGTGGAGAGTCATGATCACCTACGTCCTGAAAGGACACAGCACATAAAAAGAAAAAAGGATGGTTACAATTCAGATGGGAGACGGGTTGTGTTTATTTTTACCACACTTCTCAGTAACTCCTTACGTCTTTAATGACATTTATTTAGCTTGTGGTAAAAAAAAAAAAAAAAAAAATTCGGATATTAAAATAAAAATCTGTGAGTTCTGTTGGTGTGTATTATTATTAATATTAATTTATTTAGAAGAAAAATCACAAAAAAAAAAAAAAAAAAATGCCCAAGATTGTTCTTCTTTAAAATGGAAATGAAAATATACGAGAGTTAAAAACTAAAAAGCCAATTAAATTAATAAATATAACAGAAACACTAGTAAAGGAATGAATGTACCAATTTTTTAACTTAAGTAAAATACAAAGCCGCGTGAGTTAGGACGTTACTCTTGGTTTTCGATATCTACTTGCCGCCCCACGCAGGCAAGATGCGACACAAGGTCAGTTATGTGAGGAGCGCGTGCACCCGGGCCCAATCTTCTTATTTTTCTCTCGTTTGTGTTGTGTTTAGCGGTTTTTACAACGATTCGTCAAGTTCGAGGTCACATGATTTAAAACATTTTCGTGTAACCCTCCCACCCACCTGTTAAGATTTCATTTCCGTCAGATTATTTTTTGTGTCTGCCTGTTTTCCTTACCCCTGTTTCTGTTGGTGTATACATGAAGGGAGGGGTAACAAGAAAATAAAAAAATTGGCCGGTGGACCTCTTCAGTCAACGAGATTTAAACTACTAGTTCATTATTATTTTTTTTTTTTATCCCTTTCCCACCTCTCTTCTTTCCGGATTGGTGATGTTATTGTTTATATTGTTACCCCTAGATACAGATAACATCTTGCTCCTCACCAGTAGTGTACTTTGTCGTTAGGGTTTTTCACAATGACATTGACAACCAGAAAACACTTTTTTTGTTATTGCTACTTTTGTAGTTGGGTTGTTAAGACTACCTATTTTTAGTACTAACTTAAACCATTACTTCGAACTGGTATTGGAAGTTAAGTGAAGTATTCTATTCAATATAGTTTGTAACTTAAGTTAGTAACTTGCAATTAATTCTTTTTTATTTTATATGTGGCTTTTTTTAAATGAATTTGAGGGTGACACAAAAACGTTTATGTGTCTCTGAATGCCAAAAAAAAAAAAATAAATAAATAAAAAGTCTGATGTTATTGTTATCTCTTAGGAAGGGACAACAAAATATTTTCGTAAATTGAGCTGTACAATGAATTGAATTTTACTTTAAGCACGTTTTTAATTTTTATACAGTTAACTTTTTAATTTTAATTAAAAAAATCCACCTCTGTGATCTTAAAACTTTTACTTAAAACTTTAATTTTTTAGTACCTGTGTGAAGAGAGACCTTATTTTTACATCTTTTTATATTGTGGATAAAACTATTGCATTGCCTTAACAAAAACCCCAAAAAACAAAGTCTTGTTTGTGATAATGTCGGACAGAACTGCTCCTGAATCTCAACTTCGTCTTGAGTGGGTTTACGGCTACCGTGGTCACCAGTGTCGGAATAATGTCCATTATACATCAACCGGTCGCGGAGGGTCCGGCATCATTGTCTATTTTGTGGCTGGAGTGGCCATAGTTTATTCTATCCGGCAACATTCGCAGAAATTCTTCCTGGGACACGATGACGATATTCTCAGGTAAAAAAATATTTCCCTCCTGTTTTATTTATTTTTTTACAAAAAGAAAAAAAATCAAGGTAGAAAAATAAAATATATTCTAATAATTTAAACTTCTTGAATATAAAGACAAAAATTATTTTGATCTATCAGCTGCGATATTGTGGTACAGTAAAGATTTTTGGGTGTTTTTAAATTCGTATAAAATTCTTCCTTTTCTTTTTTCAACAGGTGCTTGTTATTAAGGGAGGTCTACATATAGTTTCTGTTTCTTATCCCATATTTGCTTCGGTGTTTCTTTTCCTTAAACCTCTAATTCTAATTGTTTAGTACCATTTATTTCAGTTTTACATTTCTTTCTTTTCAGTTTTTACAAAATTAAAAAAAAAAAAAAACAGTTGCAGAAAACTTAACGCTTATCAAATTGAAAACTCTTCAAAAAGGTCTTAGACAGTTTAAAAAAAAATGACATTTATGATTTAAGTCAAAGTGTAAAAAAAAAAAAAGATTTGTACAATTTTTTCCTTTATCTTAAAATATGCGATTTTAATTTTTTTTTTTAAATATGTTCTGTTTAATTACCTCGTCCTTTTGCCTAAGCTTTAAAAAAATGTTAATTAAATAAGTGAAATTAATATTAATAATTTAATTAAATACATATTTTTTTTTTACTAATGGTCATAAAAGTTATATTGGTTTTTTGTTTTTCTTTCTTCCACTATTAGTCCTTTTTTTTTTTTTTTAATGTGAATATTAATAAAAAAACATTCTCTGAATACTTTTTTAAAAGATTTAAAAAATACGTAATAATCTCGATGGAAATATCTGGTTTGTTTGAGTCTATATTGTTATTATTATTAAGTTAAAAATGTAACCGTTGTAACGCTTTTGATCTCGATTCTACCCTACTACGAAGCCTGGATTTATTAAAATAATTATATATAATTACTTTATGTATTCGGCCAGTACTTTAATATAAGTTTTTTTTTACTTTTGTTGAACAAGGCTGACAAGGTATTTTGTTTAGTTTTTTTTTTTTTGTCTTCGTCTTTTCTTTGCTGGACGGAAGCCCTTGTGTGTATATATATATATATATATAAAAACAACAGAAAATACCACTTAAATTAATAATATTAATTACGAACATGGTCACGATGTACTGGCAGTATTTGGAAATTAAGAATACACATATCGCTCTCAGTAACTTTTACCATCTAAAAAACAGAACTTTCCTTTTAAATACCATATATAATTATTATAACAAAAATACAAAAAATTATCCTTGCAAATGGTTAACAACAGTTTGCCCGAAAGCTCTTAGACTAAGAAGCGTTTTTCGGGCAAACTAGTGTTAAACCATTTGCAAAAGTTTGTTGACTAAGCCGCTTAGTCAACAAACTCTTTTTTTTACGTATAAAAAATAGCAAGACAAAAGTTAAAGTAGCTCGTTAGTATTGTTAAATGAAACATTGTATATTTGAGCAACAAACAGCAACTTACACGTTTCATTGAATGTGACAGACAAGGGGAAATTTTATGGATTTTTTAAAGTATTTTTATGTCCTTCTTACAATTATTATTATTTATTTTTGTGGAAGGAAGGGGTAAGAGAGTTTAAAGATGCTATCCTTAATAATTACTTATGGTTAAATTGTTAGCAATTTTCGAGGTGTTTATGTTAATGTTTTCCCTGTGTTTATGTTCTAAGTTGTATTGTTTGGAAATAATAGAAATTCTAAGATATGTAAGAAGAAATTTAGTTGGGCTTCCATGTGGGTAACAAATTATTCTCCACCCTTTAACCCCCTCATCCCACAGACAAGCCTCTTGCTGCTCTATTATGACTTCCATGGAAAGTGCTCAGACGAACTACGTTCCCTGGTCCCACCAAAGCAATCCCTCATGGCAAGAACATGTTATGCCGCTGACATAGTAGCAAGCCACCCACATACCCTCCATATTCCATTACTGATAAGTAAGTTCCCCCCCTGAACAACTTCTTTCCGCAAACCACTGCCCTGTGGAATCTACTCCCAACAGGATGTTTCCCTGATCATTACAATCTTAACCTATTGAAGACTGAGGTTAATCGTTATCTCCCTCACCTATATACACAAATGGCTTCTTAATGTAAACCTCTACCTGGAGTGACCCCTGAGCCTTGTAAAGGGTGGCTCTCACTGCGAAAAAATAATGTTTGGGCTACCTTTTTTTAAAAGACAGCCAACATGTTATTTCTCTCTCACTCACTCACTCACTTACTCACTCACTCACACACACACACACACATGCCCCCCCCAATTTCTTTGTATTGTGTTATATTCAAGTCCTGCATCCATATCACTCACTTCGGACATGTCCAGTACTTTCCATTGCTGTTTTGTTATGAGCACTTTGTGTTTTTCCAGACAGTCTTCTAAATTTCCCTTAATGTGCAAAGTATTAACCGAGCTTCAAAAAAAAACGTACCAACAAATATATATATATATATATATATATATATATATAATTATTTATTCAAAAATTATAACCTAAATGTTATAAAATCACTACAAAAATAGCCATTTTGTTTCAACACTTCTGGTGTCTTATCAAGTGATGGTGTCGAATGTAGAATAAAGGATTTTAAAAGGTTCAAATCAATCAAATACCCATCGCTAAGGGAAACGCTGTTACATTAGCTGGAATGACCAATCAAAATACAAGTATATGAGAATTCAAAAAACTTGACAACGAACTAAGGTTATAATAATTATTGAATGCTTTAATGTTAGGGTTAGACTAAAATAGAATTCATTCCAACTAATAAATATTAAATTATACTATAAAATTAAAAATTTTAAATTTAATCTATATTAAGTTTAAAATTATAAAATTATTTAAAAAAGAAACTGAGGAGAAAAGCACATACGTTTTTCTATTTATTTTCTTTTTATTGAAATTAAGTTGGAATAAACATTAAGATCTAATGCTGCTCTGAGCTTCGTTACAACTTAGATACATTTTAAGTGAAGACATTTGCAAGGAATGATGAAATCTTGCAAAAGACAATACATATATACAATCAGATTATAATACATATACACGCAGACATATTTAGATATATAAACATGCAAAAAAGCAATGAGACAGGAAATATGTCCATGACCCTTAAAAAAAAAAAATGGCAGCACTCTTTTAAGAATAGTATTTGTTGGTTATTGGAATTTATTCCATATACACCAATTCTATACTTGGTATATATATATATATATATATATATATATATATATATATAGTCATCCACAGACAGACTGTTTCACTGTATCACAGCTTGTCAGTGTTGCTAGATGTCCAGTTGCCTCTAGATAGGATCGAAACCCAGCTGAATTGGCATCAGTTAAAGAATCTATCCCTAAGCTGTTGGTGCATGGCAGGGATGAAGGGGAATTTAGGCGTATTTATTTTAAGATTATCATGCTATTGACTGAGAGAACTCAATTCATTTTATCAAGAGTATTGCATTAGTAGCAGTAATAGTCACTGTTTACAAACTCACACTTTTTCCACCAGAGAGCTCAACTGAAATAATTTTTCTGGACTAATATATATATATATATATATATATATATATATATATATATATATATATATATATATATATATAAAATCCATGGGTAAGTAATCCAAGTAGATCCTATTAACATAATATATTAAAACTGATCCACAAAAGACAGTTCAATATAATTTTTTAGTAAATGTATTTGCATTGATAAGTCCAGGAAAACTACTTTCCCATGGACGAAATGATAATCTGTATGAGGTAAATTGTTTGGCCTCATTAATTGTAATTCACTAATATATATATATATATATATATATATATATATATATATATATATATATATAATATATGTGAGTAATTTGAAGAAAAAAAAACAAAGGAAGAGAAAGAAAAAAAAAAAAAAAAACACAAGATTATGCTTTCAGGAGAAAAGGGCAAAAATAATTATCACTGTCTATCATTTATGGCAATACAGACTGACCAGAAGGTGGCATCAGAATTGTCCACCAAAAGTATATGTATGATATAGCACTGCAAATACCCTGATATTATGTGACTGTTGACATGAGCAGTCTCTAAATATCTATTTAAAATAAGAATGCTTATTTGATATACATAAAATTACAATTTAATATATGTCAAAGTGAACAGAATTTTTGTCAAAGTATTCAATAATTCAGGACACTTATCAAAGATTCAGTTTTGCAATGTTTTCCTCCTTAGGATTCATATGTAATAATATTTTAAAAATATAACTTTATTTAAAAGTCCTATTTTATGACTTAATTATAATTAAAGATTTATTTAGGATATTTGGTGGTGGTGGGGGGATTTTGCATTTTAGTAGATTTTTCAGAATTTTACTCAAAACTACTGTAGAGTAATGCATACCAACTCTGATTGAGTAATTGGAGAGTCAAGTTCGAATTCCAGTCAAATCCATTATATTCACTTATGTGCTAATGTCCTTGGGAAAGGTATGAATCCCCTTCTTCTCCCTCCAGCTATGCAGGGCTATAGAATCTGGACTGTCCTGCTATTTACCCATAACTGGGGGGGGTGGAGAGAGGATTCATACCTCTCCCAAGGGTATTAGCATGTAAGTGAATGTAATGGATTTGACTGGAATTTGAATTTGGCTCTCCGATTCCTTAATCCTAGCTGCTATCCATTTCTCCACTTAAGATATCTTTTAATAAATTCAGTAGATTTATTTTACTCTTGATATGTAGATTTACTCTCAATCAAAAGATGAATCATTGAACTTATTTATTCACTATTAATGCTCTATTTCATAATATTGATCACTTCATTTACAAGATCTGCTTGCCCTGAACATGTTATCCTCCAGTAATTTATTGGTTGATGGGTTTTGTTAGGCGTAAATAATAGTTGTTGTTATTATTAATAATATATATGAGTGAATATGCATGTGTGTGTGTGTGTGTGTGTGTGTGTGTGTGTGTGTGTGTGTGTG